GTATTCTGTCAAAAAAAGGGCATGCATAGCCTTTAGAAGGCTTATAGACTGCTTCTGGGGGCTGGGGTGAGGGCAAGAACGAGCAAAAAATGGCCTATTTTTTTGCGTATTTTTGCCCTCCCCAGTCCCCAGGAGCACTCTGAAAGCCTCCTAAACGCTATGCGCCGCCATTTTGCAAAGGAAGCGGGGTTTCAGGAGGCCCAAAATACTGTATTCAGTGTATAAGACACACCCAGATTTTCACCCTCTTTTTTGAGGGAAAAAGGCGTGTCTTATACTCCGAAAAATATGGTAATTAGCAGTTCTACAGTTCTATATAATCAATATAAGCAGCTGAAGAGAAAGAGACTCTCATATCTTTGAAACTAGTTAAAAGTACACTGATAACCACTGGTTCAGTTGTCCTTAAAGTATAGACGTTAATAGACTATAGGGCTTCCTAATTGGGAATTTAGGCATCTCTGATGTAATAGAAGATCTTCAAACTTGCAATAGATGGATATTACAGAATATATTAAAAATTGCTCCAATTTAAGAAATGTTAGGCTCTGTACTTTGGTAAGAAAATCTAGATCCATGAGTACAAAATAAGTGATAGTTGGCTTGGCAGTAGTACTTGTGGAAAGGAACTGGCTATCCTGGCAGATCACAGATGAAGCATGATCCAGTGGTGTGCTGCAAACTGCTAAAGAGCCAAATATGGATTGCATCGAATGACTTATAATGTAGAGATCTAATCTATGATCTGTTGGTCAGGCTGTTGCTAGACTATTGTGTCTAGTTTTTGTTTGCACAATACAAGAAGGATGTTGAGGATCTGGAAAGATTCAGAGAAGATCAGCAGAAACAGTGAAGGTCTTCAAAGCTAAATCCTATGAACTGGGTTAAAAGAACTGGGCATGTTTATTAGTGTGAAGAAGAGAAGGCGAAAGGGACACTTGATCGTTGTCTTCTAATATTTGAAGGACTGTCATAGGGGAGAAGGTGTGAATTTATTTTTGGTAGTGTCCAAGGGTAGAAAAAAAAACCCAACGGTGGAAACTTTATAGGAAGAGATCCATATCTACAATAGAGAAGAAAGTCTTAACTATCAGAGCTATGAAGCAGGGAAATAGTCTTTTCCTTGAGTTGTGGGTACTTCATTACTAGAGTCCCAAATGTGCTTTCTCAAGAGGCAACTGGACTTTCCTGTTTTTCTTTGAAGATGTTTCTCATCCAATTGGCTTCTTGAAAAAGCACCTTTGGGACAACCATGACCCAGATGACTGAGAATCTCATGTTCATTACTAGAGGTTTTTAAACAAAGTCTGGATAACATTTGGGACTATTTGAGTATTCCTTCTCTGGGAAGGGAGTTAGATTGGAAGACTCTCCAATCTTTCCAACCCATAATTCTATGAAAAAAGCTTCGCTAGGGAAATGTTGTTGGTTTCCTGCTCCATTTGTGGATTTCCCAAGAGAAGATGGTTGGCCAAAGTGGGCACAAAGATGTTGAATTGAGACAGCCCTTTTCTGACCAAATTACTGCAACAAGTACATTGTTGGAACACCTGAATGACAAGGTTGGGGACTGAGCTTTCTGGAGAAAATCTATGTGGTCCTTAAGAGGCAATTTCATCTTCATAGTACATCAATCAAGCAATTCAGCTTATTCTAACCTTTTCGTTGAATCTATCTGAGTCTCCACTATTTAGAGATTCCTGCAGCTACGCCATGCATTACAAACCATATTAGTATTCAAACTATGTATCAGAAGAAAAAAAACACTTTCTTGACAGTATCATAAAAAAGGTAAAGGTCTTAACAGCAGCTGTGATGACTGTCTTCAATAAAAATGTGATGTGCCTCAGGGCCTCCAACGCACTTACACCCCAATAAATAAATCTATTAACAGCCAGGAAATATCCTCCCTAAAGCAAGGAGAGTAAAAGACAGTTGGCTTCTTGCTTTATTTTATTTATATGGGCTGAGTTTTATTTATATATTAAATCAACAGATAGAAATTTACCTTTGCTGCATGACTTCCTACTAATCTTCACTTTCACCATTCCTACTACCCATCCAACATGATACAGGGAGAAAGAGAACATGGGGCACTAAAATATGGAGCTTGACAATATTGACCTAGAGCAGTGATGGCATGCCAAAATTATTCCCACACCAATTCAATCCTTCCCACCCACCTGTGCATGCGCGCATGACCCCTCTCCGGGTTCTGGAGGCTTTCTTGAAGCCCGGGGAGGGTGAAAATGCCCCCCCCCAGCCCCCTGGAAACGTATAATTTCCGAACTCCTGGTTCACCCATTGGGGGCATTTTTCGCCCTCCCCAGGCTTCAGGAAAGCCTCCGGAAGCTGAGGAGGGCAAAAAATGGCCCCAACGGGCCAACCGGAAGTTAGTTCCTGAACTTCCGGTTAGCCCGTTAGGCCTGTTTTTCGCCCTCCCCAGGCTTCAGGAAAGCCTCCGGAAGCTGAGGAGGGCAAAAAATGGCCCCAACGGGCCAACCGGAAGTTAGTTCCTGAACTTCCGGTTAGCCCGTTAGGCCTGTTTTTCTCCCTTCCCAGCCTCCTGAGGCTTTCCTGAAGCCTGGGGTGGGTGAAAATGGCCTTCCCCGGCCCTCCGGAAGGCTGAAAATCAACTGGCTGGTGCACGCATGCGTGCTGGAGCTGACGGCTGGTGTGCCACCTGTGGCACGCGTGCCATAGGTTCGCCATCACTGACCTAGGGGATTAGCAGCTTCAAGACACTGCTTACTTTTGTATGCCACTACGGAGTATGTTCAAGGAGCTGGACTACAGGAAGGCCTAGTAGTTTTCCCTTGGCCACTGAAACTCACTGTGTGACTTTGGGCTGATAACTCTCTCCTGGTCCAGCTTACCTTTCAGTGCTTGTCCTGGAGAAAACTGGGAAGATGAAAAATTATATATGTTGCCTTGAGTTTCTGAATATATATCCAATCGTAAATAAAAATAAGTAAGTAAGCAACATTATAAGTGAGAATATGTGTAGCTCAAGGTTGAAATGAGGGGTCCTTGGGACACTCTGAGCTTGGTTGTTGCCTTGCAGACATTTCATTACCCATTCATCAGTTGTTACCTAGTTTGGGTAATGAAACATCTGCAACAAAACAACCAAGCTCAGAGAGCATCAAGGTTCCCCTCAATAACCAACTTTTGTCTGCCGCTAGCATTAGAAAGTCCCTGTTTCCTCTTTTTAAGAATGAAAACAAAAACCCAAGTTGATTAGAGCTCTCACCAATCATCTACTAGGCCAATTAAGGCAGAAAACATCTGGGGCTACAAAATAACTGTTCTGACCTAGGCTTCCTAAGAGCATGCAGCAAACTTCTTGTCCCAACAAAAAAACCTTTTATTAATTTATTGTGAATTCTTCTCATTCACATCCAGCAAAGTCTTTCAAGGGAGGATTTATAGTCACAGACCTTATCTGGTTTGGAGAGCTGCCAGGCTGATATCTGCAAAACTTGTCAAGGAGTCTCGGAGAGTCACAAACCAATTAAGCAAGCTAATTGTCTCCTGCAAAGTCCACTCCCCTTTTGTTCCTCTTTTATTTCCTCTGAGAGGGGCCATTCATCGCCCATCTGCGGCCTTTCGCCCAAGTCGATCCCTGTTCTTTAGCTGTTCCCTTTGACTGGCAACT